TTTCCTCTAACAACTGCTGTAATGTAATGTGGTTGCCATACGAGATATCTAAACATTTAAAATCTTAGGCTTAGTGATTATGGCAGATGTAATGTGGTTGCCATACGAGATATCTAAACATTTAAAATCTATGGCTTAGTGATTATGGTAGATGTAATGTGGTTGACACACGAGATATTTAAATGTTTAAAATCTTAGGCTTGGTGATTATGGCAGATGTAGGCTTGCTATAATTACACAAATATTTTACCATTAATTTTATGCCAAGATTGATGATCAACATGAACCATATAGTTATCCAAACATGTTTCTGCATTAAACTCTCAAATAAAACATGAAGCCTCAATAACATATCTTTTCATTATATACACAAATAATGGTATTTAACCTTACATTTAATTGTTCACAAACTGTTTGTTTGATTGTTGTTAAGCCCAAAGCTGCACAATGGCCTATGCTCTGTCCACCAAGGGTATGGAGACCTGATTTTTAGTATCACATTCAAAGACCAAAATCTTATGGTTTTTTCAGAAAATTAACTAAAAGCATTCATTCATAAAGTGTGTGCAATGGAAATATTTTTTTTTTACATTTATTGTGAACCAGATTCAAGTGGTATCTAAGAAATGAGGTACATTTAAGCAAACAAAAACTGACTAAAATTCAGTATAAGTTTTTGAGACGTTCTTCACACTTTCCAGGCTTAAAACATTCCATCCTTCAACAGTTTTAATGTTGCATCCCAGCAGATTAAATATAAAACTGTCTGTTGTTGTGCTGATGACTTGATGAGTTCTAGTGTTAGAACAGATGACAAGACAAAATATCTTCTAAAAAAAATTCATACAAGCTATGAATTATCACAAAAATAGACTGTTTCATTGTTGAAAATATAACCTTATTTAGTACGTGTTTCATTGTTGAAAATATAACCTTATTTAGTATGTATTTCATTGTTGAAAATATAACCTTATTCAACACACGTGTTTCATTATTGAAAATATAAGTACTTAGTAAATGTTACATAATTGAAAGTATAACTATTTAATACACACATTTCACTATTGAAAATATCTTTTTTGGTTGTTTGTTTTAATGCATAACTACACACTAGGCTGATAATAAAAAAGATTACGACACTTATGATATACAATATTGTTTATTAACAAAAAGTGGACATAGATAAGCGTTTCGGAATTATATCAGATTCCATCTTCAGAATCTAAAGCAAAATAATACGAATTTACATAAGTTTTTGGACATTGATAAAGTACAAATGCTAAATTCAACGATAATTAAACAACTAATGAATATACTATATACTCACTACTAATGAATATACTGTTATGACAGCGGAAGTCTCGTGACGCTGCTGGCGCGTAGGCGCTGGTGGCATGCGTGATGAGTTTCTCGAATGATCGGGGAACTCCGAGAGTGTTCGAGATGCCCTCTTAGTTAGCATATAAGCTTGGCAGAGAAAGCCAGCACAGGTGAATGAAGAGAGAGCAGTAGTTACTTTGAGTTCCGTGTA